TCCAAAAAATCACGTTTTTGAGCCACGTATGGGGCTGCACTTTTGCCAGCACCCTCGTGACGTTGCAGATATGTGGCTTGATTATTGTAGTGGACGTTGATTCAGTAACTTTGGCAAGTTTGAGTCTTGTCAAGAAGCCAGGTAGGATTCAGTACTAGGCAGTAGTGGAACCGAGTGGCAGTCTTTGCCGATTTGTAAGGGTCTCCTGGATTTGGTGTGCAGCGCTGTGGAAATGGCTTGCTTTGGAAGTCCCAGCACTGGATGTTGTATCAAAGGTACGACCTCGTAGCACGTGCTAAACCTCAAAAATTCAAAAATTGACTTGGGTCTGTGTGAGTCTGTGAGAGAACGCCCACTCCTGCCGTTGTGACAGATTCCAGGGCCACGTGGAGTGGCCCTACCCCACCACCCATGGCTGCTTCTGGACTTGTTTTAGGTTTGGGTCCCGCGTACGGACAGAATGGGCACGAAAATGTGAAATTTTGTAAATACATTTGTTTGGCTCCTGGGTGGCTCGCACAACGTGGCACTATGGCGGAAATTTGAGTTTTTCCGGCCTGGAAAACCTGTCAGTGAGGCGCAAGAACTTGTAAATCATGTCCTGAGGGCCAGCATAGTGGCAGGAGTGTGTGGTCAAAATTTCACTCAAATCCATTGAGAAATACCAAAGTTACGGTCAATTGAATGCTATCTGAAATTTATGGGTAGGCTGCCCCCCTTTTAAAGGTATTGCTTGTCTTCAGCCTGCAGGCACAGATATTAGTGTTGAATGACTTGCAGTAACTGTTGTTAATTTTAAAATTTTGTCAGTGTGTCACACGTGGAAGATTGATATTCCAGTATCCTTGCTGTGCATGTTTGCAAGCCGACCTAGACCGCGGCGTAGCCTGCATGGGGTACAGGGGGGGGGGGGGGGGTTAGGGTCCAGCGGATTCTGCCGGCAGAACAATTAGCAGAATTCGGTACTTTTATGGTAAGTTTCATGCATGTTTGGTATGTGGATAAAGAAATGGAGCAGAATTCGAGGAATTGCCCGCCATAAGGTTTGTATGGTTCTGCCAATTTTACTGCTTTTCGAGCAGAATCTGACTGTTGTGAAACCACAAGTTCTCGAGAGTGAAAGGCCTTCTCGCTTGTGGCATTGTGTTCGTTCCAATGCAGTTGTATCCCGACTCCGCCGTACCGCTTATTGTTACGACGTGGTATACGCTACAGGCGCTATGTGCGGTTTGCTGTGTGCGCTGTAGTTGTATGTTGTATGTGTATGCTTTCTCATATAACTACCTGGTGGTTTTAGTGTTATTTATTCATTCATTCATTCATTCTTTTAGTGTTAGTCGTTATTAGTCGATCGAAGTGAAATATACTGTCAAGAGTTAATAGTTTTCTTCGTGCCGTGTGGTAGTTCGTTCCTTACTTTTAGAGAATCAAACGGGTTCACAACACTGACTCCTTTTCGAGCAGAATCCGCCGGCCTCTACGGGGGGGGGGGGGGGGGGGGGGCGAGGAGCATGTGCACCCCCTAAAGATGTCGACCTAGGTTCAGCATGTACATAATGACCACGAATGACACTACGCATATGCGGCCGTGCACACCGGTGACCCCCCCCCCCCCCTAAAAGGGAGACCAGCTACGCCCCTGCGGTCGGCCTTGTAAGCACTGTTGTGTATGTATATTCCTCTCAGTAGGGACCCTGGTTTAGACCAGGCGTTTTCTGATTCACGACATACCGTGTATGGAGCGGAACGTGGGTGAAAATCAGAATGGAGCGCATTATGCGAGCAGTGAGGGTGCTTAGCTGAAGAAGTTTCCAAAGCACGAAATCAAAATATTTGATGAGCTTCGAAGCTTCGTCTTTGACCAAGTTTGGGCCTTTCGCTTCATGCTTTTGTTTGTTCCGTGTGGGTCCATTGCATGAACTTTACATGTATCACCCACGTTCCCGTATTCGTTACGTGGGACTAAACCTCCCCAGTAACAATCAGCAGTTCAGTGCTGGTCGCGGTCCTCCCACCTCCATACTATCTGCACTGTCAGCCCTTGAACCCAGAGTTTTTTGAGGTGCCACTGAACGCGTGAAAATGCGCAATTGCAGTTCACTCCACCATTTCCATCATAACTTACGTTCTGTTTGCTTGATTTTGACAGTCTAGGGCTCTTTGAAACGCTCTTTCCGCTGCCAAGAGAATGAGGCCACGCTCAACTCCGTGGGTGCCACAAAGCCTGCTCCAGAGCGCAGGGAATCGCCATAGGTCGGGCCTCGTGTTGAAAGAAATACTTCTAAATTTCATCCCAATGCCATTTCGCTGTCGTTTCTTGCACAGCTCTGGATTTTTTTGCATCTCAATCAGTAGTTTCGACGTCATGACACCCACACGTCATCAGCTGGCTGCACACCACGTGATCCACGGGAAATCCCCGAAGCACGAGGCAAAAAAATGATTTTGAGACGTTTGAACAATTTAGTGCCGCGATCAAACTTTCGAGCGCCATATCTTTATCATCGTTTCTCCTATCGCAAAAGCGATTACACCATTGGAAAGCTTGGAGCTTCCTCTTTGATCTACATATTTCGATATTTGCAACAGGACAAAAATCGATGGAGTTACGACAGTTTTACGGTACGTAAACAATATCAGTCGTTAATGACTGATGCACCGCTTAAACCTGATTTATATTCTACAGGTTTGATTGTGCCTATAAGAGCATGTTCGATTGGTAGGATCGATTCAGGATCCGGATCCGCCACTGGATTCACTCCCTGATCCCTTTTGATTGGTCGGATCCGGATCCGGTCAACCCACCTACCGGTAGCTCTGGGCCAGCAGGGTTGACCTATCCAAATGTGACCTTTGTGGGTACATGTATATAGCGGGTAAAAATCATTTTTTGTACACATTGTGGTACGCACACACGTGGACCGAGATACTCTTGAGTCTTGTTGACTTTTCGTACGACGCATGTGCATGCGATGAGTACGACTTTCACCCTTTTGGGTGACCTCAGGTGGATAGTTGCTTCATAACTCGTTTCGATGTGATTTCTATTTTAAAAATACCTGGTATTTGATAAGAAAAGGGTTTGCTCCCCACACCGGAGCTCGCGCTATTCCGCCGACTTTACTTGACACTTGACTGACTCACCACTGCCATCCAGAGCACACGAGAAGTCCATCGAACCTTCGACTCGGCAAACCTGCAAGAAAGCACCACTCCCTGCTTAATACACAGTGTTTCGGGGAATTCACCCCTCATCAGTTGAGCTTGAGTAGGCTGAGGAAGATTGTGCCTGAAGAGCACCACTTATACTGCTCTCCAGGCACAAATATCACCAGGGATACAAACTTACAGAGACGCTCCGTTTCCAGCGCAAAAAAGACCTCGTGAACACCAGATAGCAGCTTGAGTCAGTGTCGCTCCTGGATGGTGAGACATAATGGTATTTAATATCAAAGTTTTTCACAAAACGAAATATTTTCGTAATGGGGTGGGAGGGGGCAGTGTTGAGCAATTTCGTTTCAGAAAACATTGATACATGTACACGGCCATAGGAGCAGTGACACATTTGCGACTTTTGCATGTATTGTGTCAACGTTGTTTACGTTCTTAGGGGGAGGGGGGTTCGGTCCAAACTAAATAATTTGTTTGGAGAAAAAAGTAGGAGATTCACGGACGCCCCTAATATGTGTTACTTCCTACACAGCACACTTGGTCAGATGAAAGAAAAGTACTTAGAAGTACATGTATCACCAGTAAATATGCACCGTTCAATAAAACAAAAATTATGAACAATGAGCCTAGCCCTCTGCAACATGCTTTTTATGCCTGAAATTTAAAAAAGATTTAAAAAAGCAGATAAATAATCAGGTGAAGCAGATAAATGCTCAGGTCAAGTTGGCTTTATAATAATTATTACGATCGCTGGTCAGAGCGGCGCAAGCAGCAACAGTAAGCCAGGGAGAGAGCAGTACTGCCAGCAGGGAGTACAGGCACAATGAGAAGTATAACAAGTTTTTGCCAGCTAACTGGCCTCTGCGTACACCGCAGACACACAACAGAAAGATACAGATCACAGTAGTAGTGTGGTCTTTGTTCACTCACGGTGGAAGATGGAAGAGCTTAGCGTAGTATATAGATGAGCATGAAGAAGGGCATGCCACCTCACGCATATACATGTACACGTATGTACCAGACCACATGATGCAAGAAGTGAACCACTGTGGCGAATGGGGCCGCCGGATAATTAACCAGCCCAAAGCTGGCGGAAAAAACATCAGGACCCCGGCGGAGGCACAACCCTGAGGAAAAACCGGTTAGAATAACCCCATAATATAAATGAACAAAACGTAGCCTGCAGGACCTATCCCGAAGTGAAAATAAAGGGGAGGGTGGGTGGGAAACTACAACGAAAAGAGAAAGACCAAGATGAAGAGAAAAGTTTGCGAACACTGACAAAAAAGCCAGCTGACACAATCCTGGTGCCGTAACTATGGTGAAAATGCCGGGAAAAAATACATTTTTCGTTTCATTCGCTACGCTCAGCCAACGAAAAGTAACACGTTTAAAAAAACTGAAACTGATGTTTGATTGAAAACGTTAAAGCAGTGCACATTGCAATCAAGAACACCGGTGATGTTGTCTAGCTCTCAACTTTGGCATCGACGGAAGCCAAGGGGCTGCGGGAGGAACAGTGGGCACTATTGCGGATGGGGTGCGTGTGTGGTGTGATAGGCTCATCTGACCACAAGTTTCGGAGTCAGAGTCACACAAATGCAATAGTGATTAACTAACTTAATAAGAGAGAGAGAGAGAGAGAGAGAGAGAGAGAGAGTGTGTGTGTGTGTGTGTGTGTGTGTGTATGTGTGTGTGAGGAGGGGGGGGGGGGGGGCAGATAAGATAAAACATTGGGGTGATTCAGCCACAGTGTGAAATGTAACATAGTGAGATGAAGCTCGGAGCGACAGCACCTCAAACAAACACAGTTCGTGTCACTTCTCACGTTATTCACTATCCGCCACGGCCAATCCGGCAAACGGATTGCGGGTGGCCGGAGCGGCTGCGACCGCACGTGACGCTACCCCACGACAGGAACTATCATCTGCTGACGATGCGGCAGCACTGGAGTTGCTGCTAGCACTTAGCTGTGCCAACAGGTTAAGGCTCAACTCATCATGGTCCAAGGCGTCCAGTTGGACTGCAACAACGCTCTTTATTTCGGGATGGCACATCCATTTCGATAAGTCTTCAGTGGATTTCGGCGGTCGTACGAACAGTGCTATTCTGCCATCTGTCGCCAGGCGCAGAATATGATTCCCGGCACGGTAGGTATCGGGACGGGCGCCCTTTGCGGTACGGAAACCCCTTTCCTCCACCCACTTCTCACAGACGTCCCACGCGGACCAGGTGTGGCCGTCACAACGAAGTGAGCTTGAACTAGCGTGGCCGTTGCACGGCGGGTTTGTTGAACTGTCGACGCATGCATCGGATTGTGGAGGAACAGTCGGGCATGTTTCACTTGTTTTCTTGGCCAGTCCCAGTCGGTACAGCAAATTACATCCCAGGCGCACCGCCAGATAGCCGACGGATGTATATGGCTCATGCACTTGGGAAATAGGGCACATTCCGGACAGGATCTGTAGCTGTTTTTCAACACGTGACGGAAAGACTAGGCCAGGTGAGTCGCACAGGCGGATGTGCGGTGTGAGGAAGTGCGTCTGAAAGTGCTTCGTGTGGCCGGGTGTGCGCGACGCACTTACAACTTGCTTGCCAATCAGGCTATTGAGAATGGAGGACTTACCCACGTTGGGATGGCCGACCAAACCTATTGTAATGAAGGACGGCGGTGAGGATGCTGTTGCCGCTGCCGTTGCTTCAGTGCCACCGTTTGTACCGTTGCTGGAGTATGCGGTATGCTTACCACGCCGGCTATGAGGTACTATCTCTTCGTGCACTGATGCTGCTGTTATTCCAGCATCGTCGCACACTTCAAACTTTGAGAGTTTATCCGTCCAACCGGACAGCGTACTGTGATCGGCCACCACATTGGCCAGGGCGCGGATCAGCTGACGGGCACCTTGTACGCATATCATGCGCCGCTTAGCGCCGCACCGGGCGTGCGACATCAGACCCTTGGCGTCGGAGCGCTGGCTGCTGCTCTGGTTCCCTGGGCGTGCCGTGTAGAGGACGACGTGAAGTTGCGGGAACAGTCCATAGAAGTACTCGCGCCACGCCAGTACCACACTCGCCGGCACCAAGTCTATCTTGTTCAGCACTAGCACGAGCGTTTTGTTCAGTTCATGTACGACGTGGCGGTACAGGGATGGTGGGAAGTGCAGGATGGGATGGCGTGCATCGGCGATAATCACTATTACATTCGACATCTCCAGCACACGCCACAGCTGCCGCCAAGACTCCGGGTTCCGCTCAAAGTAGCTTAGCGGATGGTTGTGTGTATCAGCCATGAGCTGGTCAATGTACTCATTGAAGTAGCGCTGCTCCTTAGCTTCCAGCTGCTGCTTGCTCAGGCTGTATTGCCAGGTGGGACGAACAGGCATGTCGATGTGCTCAATACTTCCATAGATATCTTCATAGGACACTTCCAAGTCTTTTTCTGCCAGGGTTTGCAATGGCTGACGCGACTCCCGCTTGCGCTCCTCAATTTCACTGGCACTTTCTTGGGCAAACATCAGTTTGTATCTGTCTTGACGCCTTGTCTCAGCCACGGCACCGCCTTCTTCGAACTTGGGCTCAAATTTATCTACGATCATTGCCCTTTTAGACGTGACCAGTGTTTCTGCATTTTTATCTGAGTCAGATGGCGAGTCTGAGCGTATCTCCAGCTTCTCTTTGGCAGGCTCCTCGTCGTCCTCTCGGAATCGCTGCACATCTCGCTTTCGCTGGAGCTGGGCTGTCTTCTGCTTGCCACTGAACGGTTTTCGACGACTGTGTTGAGGCATTTTCAACAATGTCAATAAATGCAGATTGCCTGGAAAGCACCACAATCCACCAGAACTGGAGGCGAGAATCCAGAAAGCAAAATTCTTCTTTCACCTTGAACCGACAATATAGCACTCTGTCTCCTGGTTCTAGAGGTCTGCGTTCAGAAACAAAGAGTTATATAACACAACTACCAGATTGAAACGCACTCAATATCGCGATTGAAAACTGAATCAGTATCTAATATTGACTGAGTACGAGGTCAATAATTCTTTTACTCGGCTTTTATTTCCTATAATTATTAGGCCATCATTTTTTATAGCTATGTTAACAACATGTTTCGCGTCGTCCGCACGCATACGTTTTGATTTTTTTCGAAAAAAAAATAAAAAATAAAACATGCACAGTGAGTGTACGATAGTGCGAGTGCAGACAGGTTGCATACGGCGAAGCTGGGATTCAGAAATGGCCTCTAGCCTAGGCCAGCGTTGGTAAATCGTTTGTTCGGCATCTTGGAGCAATATTCTATGAGCTTACACCAGACCGCATTGATCGCCTAAGCTGAGAGGATGCGTCGTTCCGGAGCTCTTTGCACCGCTGCTGAAGTCTGAGTACAATATTCCAGCGAAGCATAGGCACCAACGGTTGCCTCCTCTGTCCAACTCATGCTGATAACCCAGATGTTGTGCTTCGATGCACGATTTTTCTTTGGAATGTACACCATGCACGAGCTATTGTGCTATGTACAGTGCATACACCTCTGATGAGCCTTTTTTATTATTTTGCAACTTTTTATTTTTTTCCACCTCTCGCATATGATTCTGGAAGTTGAACTGACGCGAAACATAGATTATAAAAAATGATGGCCTTATAGGAAATAAAAGCCGAGTAAACATGGTAAAAGACCGAGGCGAAGCCGAGGTCTTTTACGAGGTTTTTATTTCCTATCCTGACCATGTACCAAGTACGAAGTCAATATTAGATTTATCACGACAAACAGTCCGTATTTCAAATTCCAGAACGATAACCTGATGTATCCCGGTTTTATGATTGCACATCCGTTGCACCACCACCTACTCATGCAGTGACAATGCTGCACTAGGCACACACGTGGAAGATTGATGTTCCAGTATCCTTGCTGCGCATGTATGCATGCCGACCAAGGCCGCGGCGTAGCCTGCATGGGGTACAGGGGGGGGGGGGGGGGGGAGCATGTGCACCCCCTAAAGATGTCGACCAAGGTTCAGCAGAGTACATAATGACCACGAATGACATGCACCAACCATCCTACGCATATGCGGCCGTGCACCCCCTCCCCCCCCCCCCCCAAAGAGGGACGAGGTACGCTAGGCCTTGACGGATTATGCTAATATTTTCGTGAAATCATGCTTTTCGCATTGCTGAAAAAATTGCAGAATTATGCTATTTTTATGCTAAAAGTTATCATATTATGCCGCATCATGCTCACATATGCTGCTAATGTATAATTTATGATGGTTCTGTGCAAAATAACAGGGGATTTTTTTATAGGGCATTGTACTGTAATAGCAAAAGTTCAACGGGGTCAACGCACCGTCCGACCTACAATTGTAGCTACGACCATCACTGATTGTAATGGACTGAACATGTTATCAAGGGAGTCGTAAACCTACGACTTCCTGGTGTATCTACTTGTACTTGTAGAACATGTACAACTCTATGGAATTTGGTGCAAACAGGCGGATTATTCCATTATTTATGCGATTCGTATGCGATTTGCCTTGAATTATGCGATTATTCGATTTTGGTAGGAATGATGCGAAAAATTATGCTAGCATAATCCGTCAAGGCCTTAGCTACGCCCCAGCAATCGGCCTTGTATGTCTACTAGTCCTCTCAGTAGGGACTCGGGTTTATATTATGTAGACCCCCACCAACGTACAGGCGTTTTCTGATTCACGACATACCGTGTATGGAGCGGAACGTGGGTGAAAATCAGAATGGAGCGCATTATGCGAGCTGTGAGGGTGCTTAGCTTAAGAAGTTTCCGAAGCACGGAATCAAAATTTTTAATATTCGATGAGCTTCGAAGCTTCTTCTTTGACCAAGTTTGGGCCTGTCGCTTCATGCTTTTGTTTTTTCCGTGTGACTAAACACAACATTGCGAACGTGGGTCCATTGCATGAACTTTACGTGTATCACCCACGTTCCTGTATTCGTTACGTGGGACTTAACCTCCCCAGTAACAATCAGCAGTTCAGTGCTGGTCGCGGTCCTGCCACCTCCATGCTATCTGCACTGTCAGCCCTTGAACCCAGAGTTTTTTAACCTGATTATTATTCTACAGGTTTGATTTTGCCTATAAGGGCATGTTCGATTGGTAGGATCGATTCAGGATCCGGATCCGCCACTGGATTCACTCCCTGATCCCTTTTGATTGGTCGGATCCGGATCCGGTCAACCCACCTACCGGTAGCTCTGGGCCAACAGGGTTGACCTATCCAAATGTGACCTTTGTGGGTACATGTATATGGCGGGTAAAAATCATTTTTTGTACACTTTGTGGTACGCCCACACTTGGACCGAGATCCTCTTGATTCTTGTTGACTTTTCGTACGACGCATGTGTATGCGATGAGTACGACTTTCACCCTTTTGGGTGACCTCAGGTGGATAGTTGCTTCATAACTCGTTTCGATGTGATTTCTATTCTTAAAAATACCTGGTATTTGATAAGAAAAGGGTTTGCTCCCCACACCGGAGCTGGCGCTAATCCGCCGACTTTACTTGACACTTGACTGACTCACGACTGCCATCCAGAGCACACGAGAAGTCCATCGAATCTTCGACTCGGCAAACCTGCAAGAAAGCACCACTCCCTGCTCAATACACAGTGTTTCGCGGAGTTCACCCCTCATCAGTTGAGCTTGAGTAGGCTGAGGAAGATTGTGCCTGGAGAGCACTACTTATTATAGTGCTCTCCAGGCACAAAGATCACCAGGGATACAAACTTATAGAGACGCTCCGTTTCCAGCGCGACAAACACCTCGTGAACACCAGATAGCAGCGTGAGTCAGTGTCGCTCCTGGACGGTGAGACATAATGGTATTAATCAAAGTTTTTCACAAAACGAAATAATTTTCGTTATGGGGTGGGAGGGGGCAGGGTTGACCAATTTCGTTTCAGAAAACATTGATACATGTACACGGCCAAAGGAGCAGTGACACACTTGCGACTTTTGCATATATTGTGTCAACATTGTTTACGTTCTTAGGGGGAGGGGGGGGGGGGGGTCGGGTCCAAACTAAATAATTTGTTTGGAGAATAAAGTTGGACATTCACGAACGGCCCCTAATATGTGTTACTTCCTACACAGCACACTTGGTCAGATGAAAGAAAAGTACTTACAAGTACATGTATCACCAGTAAATATCAGGTCAAAAATCAGGTCAAGCAGATAAATACTCAGGTCAAGTTGGCATAATAATAATTATTACGATCGCTGGTCAGAGCGGGGCATGCAGCAACAGTAAGCCAGGGAGAGAGCAGTACTGTCAGCAGGGACTACAGGCACAATGAGAAGTATAAACAGTTTGTGCCAGCTAGCTGGCCTCTGCGTACACCGCAGACACACCCACACACAACAGAAAGATTCAAAGATACAGATCACAGTAGTAGTGTGGTCTTTGTTCACTCACGGTGGAAGATGGAAGAGCTTAGCGTAGTGTATAGATGAGCATGAAGAAGGGCATGCCACCTCACGCATATACATGTACACGTATGTACCAGACCAACATGATACAAGTAGTGAACCACTGTGGCGAATGAGGCCGCCGGATAATTAACCAGCCCGAAGCTGGCGGAAAAAACCTCAGGACCCATGCGGAGGCACAACCCTGAGGAAAAACCGGTTACAATAACCCCATAAGTTAAATGAACAAAACGTAGCCTGCAGGACCTATCCCGAAGTGAGAATAAAGGTGTGTGAGGCTCATCCGACCACAAGTCTCGGAGTCAGAGTCACACAAACGCAAGAGTGATTAACTAACTTGATAAGAGAGAGGGAGAGAGAGAGAGTGTGTGTGTGTGTGTGTGTGTGTGTGTGTGTGAAGGGGGGGGGGGGAGATAAGATAAAACATTGGGGTGATTCAGCCACAGTGTGAAATGTAACATAGTGAGATGTAGCTTGGAGCGACGGCACCTCAAACAAACACAGTCCGCGTCACTTCTCACGTCATTCACTATCCGCCACGGCCTATCCGGCAAACGGATTGCGGGTGGCCGGAGCGGCTGCAGCCGCACGTGACGCTACCCCACGACAGGAACTATCATCTGCTGACGATGCGGCAGCACTGGAGTTGCTGCTAGTACTAAGCTGTGCCAACAGGTTAAGGCTCAACTCATCATGGTCCAAGCCCTCCAGTTGGACTGCAACAACGCTCTTTAGTTCGGGATGGCACATCCATTTCGCTAAGTCTTCAGTGTATTTCGGTGGTCGTACGAACAGTGCTATTCTGCCGTCTGTCGCCAGGCGCAGAATATGATTCGCGGCACGGTAGGTATCGGGACGGGCGCCCTTTGCGGTATGGAAACCTCTTTCCTCCGCCCACTTCTCACAGACGTCCCACGCGGACCAGGTGTGGCCGTCACAACGAAGTGAGCTGGAACTAGCGTGGCCGTTGCACGGCGGGTTTGTTGAACTGTCGACGCATGCATCGGATTGTGGAGGAACATTCGGGCATGTTTCACTTGTTTTCTTGGCCAGTCCCAGTCGGTACAGCAAATTACATCCCAGGCGCGCCGCCAGATAGCCGACGGATGTATATGGCTCACGCACTTGGGAAATAGGGTACATTCCGGACAGGATCTGTAGCTGTTTTTCAACACGTGACGGAAAGACTAGGCCAGGTGAGTCGCACAGGCGGATGTGCGGTGTGAGGAAGTGCGTCTGAAAGTGCTTCGTGTGGCCGGGTGTGCGCGACGCACTTACAACTTTCTTGCCAATCAAGCTATTGAGAATGGAGGACTTACCCACGTTGGGA